GATGATTTAGACCTGATAATCCAGCTGTATTAGTGTTCCTGAAGTATATATTATGACAAAGATATTAAGAGCTAAAATATGGACTTTTTATATCTGTAGGTGTGTGTCTCTATGGGGGGCTGAGGGGTGGTGCATGTGTTTCTGATGGGAATCTTGATGATTTAGTTTGTTTTCTTGGAGAGCAGTTGCTGATAAGTGTGCTGCAGCCAGGCACTATCTTTGTCACCGTGTCTCTTTTTCCTTCCCTCTCCTTCTCTCTCTGTGTCTCCTTTATCTGGTTCACGTCACTGTGCTGGCAGTCTGGTGTGCCAACAGTTCTTCAAATAAAACAAAACAAATAAAAAGGTGCAAAAAAGAAGAAGAGAAGATAGTCCTACATCCAAGTTCCTCCTTGGATGTGAAGAATCTGCGATCTACCTTAAAATGTTTATTTAATAAATAAATAAACCTGCTGCACCTAAATAGCTTACTATGTACTTGCAGTGACCTACAGCCTTTTACAGGAGAAACTGCAGACCTAAAAATCAATGAAATTACTTCAGCCATCCTCCTGTTATGTAAACTTTTATAGAAGATGCCCAATGTTGCCAGCCATAAATCATTATTTTAAAGGAAAGATGCAATCACAAATTTATGTTCCATTTTTTAAATTGTATACAAAAGTGATACTACAACTAAAATTGATGGGATCCGTTTGTGAAGTGATATACTTTACGGTTGAGCTCACCCTTTGTAAAAAAAATAAAAAATAAATAAGAGGGGACATTGATGAAGGTTGTATGTAACTGTGTGGGTGAATATTGTTATTGCTAAGCGTTATGTGTGTAAAAACTCTGAAACTGTCATATTAGTTCACATCAAAGCACACACGTACACAAAGTCTTCATTTTGTGCAGAATATATTGTTTACTTCTCCCAACTCTTCCTTTTATAAAAAGAAAGACAGGGACCTGGGCAAGTTGCCACAACCAATGAAACTGTTGGAAAATAAAATAATAAAGTATTTAGGAACAAAATATCCCTCCATCAGATTAAAAGCACATTTTATTAAGCAGATGGTGAGAGAGGATTTTCACTCTAGAAAATATGGCAGGGCTTTCAAATGTGACATGGGAGGAGGAGATATTCGGGGGGGTTAAAGGAAGAGAGGAGACAAGAGGGAAATAGGAAAAGAGTGAAATACCATGGTGGAAAAAAGATAAAGAAACAGGGAGGAACTGTATATAGCTAAATAGTATCAAATCATAGAGGAAGAGGGGGGAAAGGGAAATATAACAGGAAAGAAAATGTTGGAAAGAAGAACGGAAGAGACGATAAAAGGAAAGAGTGCAGCAGTGAATGGAGCGTCACAGCTGCATTCTTTAAACAGATCAGATTTGGGGAAATTGGGCTGTCACTACAGGACTGCGATGATTTACACCTATCCATCACTATAAGAGTCAGAGTAGTCGAATAATGCACAGCACCTGGAAAAATGAAAGAAATACATCCTAAACATGCCACATTTGGGTGCTCACTTCTCACATTTCTGTGCAATATTCTGAACATGAAGGTTGTAAAACTAGAAAAATTGTATTTAACGCTAACATTTTTTCTTTTGTGTATCAAGGATCCATATATTTATTGATATCATATCAGTTCATTATATTTATGTACTAAACTGCTCCAGATCAATAAAATAAAATAAAAGCAAATTCACAAATAAATCACTTACACAGATCTAAAAGCGTCACGAATGCATATGAATTATTATTGTGCAAACTAGTTTTGGACCAGAGGAAATGCACACATTTTATAGTGGCACATTTTCAGTCTGACACAAGCTGCAGTTGACACTTGTCTTTTCAGTTTACTCGCCTGATTTTGTCTATCTTTCCCCCATGGCCTCCTCCCTCCACCTCCCCCTCCCCTCACTCCTGCTCATGCACCTTACAGCCTCGCTCCTGGACCATCTGTTAGGGAATCTAATTCACATCCAGTCATAATCACGTTTGCTGGAGAGCCCACCGTCTCTGCCCATCTCTGTTCCTCTGTCTATCTCTGCCTGCATTCTTTGCTATTTCAAAGCCTGTTTTTATCAATTTGGAAACAACAAAAAAAACCTTAATCAACTCCTATGTTCTATTTTCCAAAAAGCTGTTTTTGTTCTAACTTGAATGTATTTTGTGCACTTGCACGGGTAACCAACATCTTCTTGTCTGATTCAACTTCTGCATCATGTTTTCCTGAAGCACTTTATATTAACATAAAATTACTTTATGCTTTTTCTCTTAAGAATTATAATGTTCTCTAAACTCTTTCTACTGATTTTTTATTTAAAAAAAAAGTAAATAAAAACTATTTTAAAATGTTTGAGTGGTTATAAGGCATTGAAAACATTAAGTACTGCAATGTCTGGTGCATATTTGCAAGTGTGCATATGTGAGTGTTCGTCCATAATTGAGAATAAGGGGAGCCGAGGTGAAGGGGGGTGGAAGTTAATGAGAGGTGAGTGTCTGAAACCATCTCACTCTTTCTCTCTCTCGTTCTCTCGCTGCTTCTGCAGTAATCCTCTTCTATAAATCTGCAATCCAATCAGTGTTGTCTACACTAACACACACACAGACTTGCTAACACATACACACAAGCTGCTGAGAGGCCCATCTGTGTGTTAAGGCAATCTGCTTTATCATTATGATTACATTGGGCTCAGTATACAATGATGTGTTTGTGTGCATGTGTGCAACTGAGCGTGTGTGTGTTCATGCGCACAGTAACTGGTTGACATTAATCACATCCCCATGGCTTGATGGCCTAAATATAAAAAAGGTTAGAATATCGTAAAAACAGAGAAAAGGAGTTTTTGAAAAAGTTGGTCTTCTAAACTCTTTTTACAAGCATAAAGGTTCTCCTTTTATGTAATGGTTTTGCACATCAACCGGCTAAATAAGGTAAAAAAAACGACTCTATTTTAAAATAAAATACTGACAACTTTTACTGCAAATATTCTATATAATAATGAATAAAAATGTAACAATTTAACACCAAAAACGTTTTACGATTTGAAGGTGTTAGAATGTGTCTGAGAGTATATGTGTGTTAGAAATTAACATCCTAATAGTAGCTAAATCACCTCTGCACAGCTGGAGGTCGGATACTCTGTTTAAGTACTCAGACAATCTTATACTGCAGGTGTGTGTGTGTGTGTGTGTGTGAAATTGGGCAAAATAAATGCCTTTTTTACTTTAAATGTACTGTAACCAACAGACACTTTGAGTCTGAAACAAAAAAATTGACTCATGGATCGAAACTGTTTCAATGCTGCCATCATCCTAAAGTTTTATGCTTGGAATGTTACAGTTTGTAACAGCTCAGCGAACACCTATAACCAAAACCTGATATTGTGCACCTCTTTGTGAAGTCATATTTACCTATATAGGGTTAAATTAGGCATGTGACCTCAGGAAAAACTTTACACCTCTCACCCCTGCTGCATGCCACTCAAATACACTCAAACACACAAGGCTGTGCTGATTCGCCAGGGGTCGGCGTGAGAATGGTTTGCCAGAACTCTAATTGGCTTGACCCAGACTAACCCTAAAATCCTATTGAACTAAGGCTTTCTAGTCAGTGGTGCACACTGTAATATACACACACACTTAACATTAGAAAGCTTTTGAAAGCCTTATAATGAACTAATCATTTATGTTCTGAAAGGCTTCTCATAACCAAACCATTTCAGCAATGTAAAAGACTGCAGACAGATAAAATATGATGTCATAACCTGGTATTTTACATTTAAAATCCTTCTAAAATTGTCTTTAAATTAATGTGTAACTGTGTTTTGGAGAAAAACATTACAGAGTTCACATTCTGACCCTTTTTCATACACCCTTTTATTCTTACGAGGGTATGAACAACAATTTGACATGTGTGTATGTGGATGAACCTTGCTGATGGTGACTGCCAGACATTTTGGAACCGCCCCTTTCGGTGGAATAGAGAGATGAGTGGTGATAGCAAGTCGTGCTAATGTTTGCACCTGTCCAGGAATGATGTAAATACTGGAAGAGGATCAAAATATTGCTTTTTGGAGAGTCCAGTTTTGTGGGCTGTTCTGGTTTGAACAAAAAACCCACACAGAAAATAAAACAAGTCACTTTCAGACCTTTAGCTTTTCAGCAAGTTTTAACTGAAGCTGAACAGCAAACATTTTTAAAAGTCAAACTTCCAGGTGATGTCTCCTTTAAGGAACCCCCTCAAAAAAGCTAAAATAATTTCTTTTAATGAAGAATGATTATATTAATTAAGTTTCTTCTTAATCTGTCTTAATCTATCTTAATCTTTTGGAGAAAGACAGATTCAAACAAAAATGCAAAATACACTAAAAACTTAGATTATTTTTATGTACTTAAAGATTATATATTACACTCTATATTCTTTAATGATTTAGGAATTTTATACTTCCTATTAACATTTTGAAATCTGGACATATGTCACCATTCCTTATCCACAAAATTGTTTAATTTAAGAGGCAAATATAAATGTGGCAGACAATAAGGATGAGCATGTAGACGGAGAAAGTCAGCCTTTATTTCACACGTCATCTGTTTCCTGTGTTTTAACATGAAACAAGCTGCTTATTTACAGTTACGTTTTTTTTTTTTTTATATACCCCTGATACGCCTGATAAAACTTGCTTACAGCAACAGAAGGATAACTTCTCTGGGGGAAAAAAATCTTCCCTTACAAGATTTTATGATTTAAAGCCTCTTCTGTGTTATGATTGCATTGCAGGCATGCAGTTAAGACACTATTATTATCAAAAACATCCACATGCTATGAACAACCATCGATCAATTTCTGTAACTGAAGGTTTTCCTTTTCTCTCCACTGCATCGGTGTGCTTGCCTTTTCTTTTCCCTCTTGTGTCAGGAAGAGTGTGTGACTTTTGTGTAAAACTTAAGCAGGCCAGGCTCATTGATTTGCCATCACTTGCATCGTTTGTATATCTATCTTACCTGGGGTTGTAGAGGGCATGTGCGTCTCTCATGTGGTTGGCTTCCAGTGAATCGTAGCTCTGGTGCATCCTCCAGGCACCAGCGCCGCATTTAACATATGTTGACTTGGAGTTTTCTTCACTGCTGCTGTTCACCAATGGACCCTTCGATAAGTTCATTCTGAGTGGCGGGAAGTTTCAGGGGGGAGAAAGAGAATGATAAGAGTGTAAAAGCAGCCAATGGGGAAAAGACAAAAAAGTAGAATTAAACAAGCTTTTTAATTACAGCTGTTTTATTAAACAGAAAAAAAATATGATTTGCTTAATCCTTAAATTCTGTACACATTTTTCCCCAATTCAATTGTTTTCAGTAAAAAAAAAAAAAAAAAAAAAAAACTCAGCATACAAGAACATCAATATGATAAATGCAATGGGAGACAAACGGATGTGGGTGAAATGTATTTAATAGACACAACATGCAGACAATCACTTTCCACATGCTAATTTTGCTTATTTGTTTTACCTCAGTGTGAAGCCACTCTTCACAGTTTGGACATAGAGATGCAGGCCATAAAAAAGAGGCTCTCACACACACACACAAAGCAACATAACTGACACAAAAGCTGACATGCTGGGTGAACAGGCAGATGCGCAGACTGCCTCCCGAGAGCTGTGGAGAGGACAGGTTGTAATTTAAAACCAGTAGAGGCTTTTGTCTTGTTGTGTTAACACATTTCAATCAGACAGATCAGTCGTTGTAGGTATGCATCATTGAACGTTAACCAGAGCACATTTCACATGAGCATCAAGGGAGTTTTACTAGTTTTCGCCTTTTATAATGCTTTAGGAATGAGGAAAGATAATCTTAAAAACACCATGGGAGAGTCTCCCATCCATCCGTCACAGTCTGCTCTGAGGTGGAGAACTGTTGCAAAGTTGATAAAATCAGTGGTTTACAAAAAAATCAAAGTGATCTATTTCTAAAAAAAAAAAAAACAAAAAAAAAAAAACTAAACAACAATTTCACTTAAAAGAGGACATTTTCTCATCATCATACAGAGTGAGAAGAGAAAAAGAATATTTTCATAAAATGCTCCTTAAAGAAATTCTGAGCAAACTTATCAGAGTAAAAAGGCGTCTCCTTTATGAAAATTGAGATGCTGCTTTTCAGCTTTTTTTTTTAAAACAGAAAAACAGAAAAAAACCCCAAATAAATTATTGTTCAATGTGTGCATTTAAGAAAATCCTGGTTTAAGTGATTGTTGTTGAAACATGTATGAATTTGCATGTGTGCGTGTGTTGATACAATTCGATATGTATGTGCTGCGTGTGTAGGATTTCATTTATAATCAAATATGTGCTTTGCTTGCTGAAAATATATTTTAGTATGTTCTTTTTTGCTAGATACCAATATTTTATTCATATATTAATTACTTGCAAAAATAAACGTATTTAACTTCTATTTCATTCTATTTATTCTTCTTTTTATTATCAATTTAATACTTTTGATCTTTCTTTTACATTTTTGTTTTCAATGTTTATCACTGTAATACAGTAACATATAAAACATATATTGGTAAATCTATTTTCTATTTAAATACGGAGTGTATGGTTTGGGATGTTGTAGCTTTTTTAGGTAAAGCAGGTTGACAGAAAAGGAGACAGACCAATGACATGTGTGACAGCAATCCCTCAATTGAGGCACAGAGCAGCATTGGTGCAGTGCGAGGTAGAGGCCAGGGTGTGTAATATGTAGGTTTTAGTTCCACTCTGGTGAATAGGAGAAATCAATATCTTTCTGCTGCCACTACTGCTAGAGACGCTTATTGGCTTTGGTTGTGGTGTCAAAATGCTATATAGACAGGCAACACTGAATACTGCAGTTTTTTTTGTTATTGGAGTGTATCTTGGTGTAACCAGACTGAAGTATATTCAGTACCAAAAGCCATATGATAGTTTCAGTACGGAGGGCCTTACTCTATCTCATAATTACTATGAAGAGGACTGTTTATCCTTTAAGCCAGTATAAAGTGAAGAGATGAAAAAAGAGGATTATAAAGATAAAAGAAAGCAACTTTTTTATCAGAAGTGTTGCAAATACAGACATACTGTGTTAAAAAGAAAGCCCATGTTTTTTAAAGTCTGGAACTCAATTATCTTTAAAAAGTTTTTTGCAGACGAGGAATTTTTTTTTTCCTGTTTACTTTTATTGACCTAAAACTACTGCAAATCACAAAGACACACCTATAATTGAGTGTTTTTTTTTTTATTGGACATCCCTAAAACTTCTTGAAATTCAATCGTTCAATAGTAATGTGATGTGATTGGTAAAGGATATTATACTTCACCCTTCTGTTAAAATGAAAGATGAAAGTATTAATCTGAGTGATTCTTCTAAACCACACTTCCCACTCCCATCCTTATGCGTAAGCAGTCCAAATACGTACACTGAATGGGTGTGTGAGTTTAAAGTTGGGAGGAAGGGATATTGAGGGTGTCTTTCTGATGCTCAGTGACTCAGTCATGTGTTGCTGCTCCATCTGTGAACAGAATGACCACAACAAGGTTTGTGTGTTGGTGATTGCATCTGTGTGTGTGAGACATAGTGATGCGGTGATTGATGAGACAGTTACCAGTCTTGCTAATGCAACACACATATATCCCTAAAGGGAGCAAAAGCCACGCCGTACACACACTTGCATGCAGAGCCGCAACTGCCCTACCTAATTACCCCTCTAGTCAGGCCAGTGTGTTCTTTTACACTGAGAACCTACATTCTTAAATGTGCTTAACGATAGTTTCCAGACTAATTCGGACAGTTTACATAAGCGTTTTTATATATCGGAGATTAGAGCAAAAAGTATATGTGACAGAGTTAGTTGTGCAGAAAAGCTGAAATGGAAAGGAGCAGATTGAAAGGATTTCCGGAGCTTAATTGCAACACAAAAACTGGTTTGCAAAAAAAAAAAAAAAAAAGAAACTAAATTAGGCCGTTTTAACAGTAGAGTTGCAGCAATCGTTATACAGCTCTTTATAAGCTGATCCCAAGCTTCCAACAAATATAACAAAATATACTATCATTAATTCTTCATAGCTTGGCATAAGCCCAGGGTATGTAAAATACTTTATTTAAAATTTACATCTTAGTCCTAAAACAATTAAATGATTGGGAACATGTGCATATTCTCCTCTGAATGTTGTTTATGTTGCTCCTTGTGACCAAAGGCACATCAGGGCAGGTGGGGTTGGTTGAAGCCCTGTGTGTGTGTGTCTGAGCGGATGTGTGTGTGTGCACGTTAGCGTTAGCGACGGGAGCTGTTAGCGGGGCAGGCGGCAGATGGGCTGTCGGCCTTAATAGGGACTGAGCGGGTGCAGAAAGGTGACAGCTTCACAAGGGAGGGGTGTGTGGGGAGGAAGAGGAGAAGAGTGTGCGCGTGTGGCGGTGGTGGCGAGGAATCGTGAAGGAAGACAGAGATAAAGGAAAAATGACTTATCAGCAGGGGTGAGGGAAAGAGCGGATCAGCTGCGCAAAGGAATGCTCCTCCTGAGGGCAAGAACTGTTTCATCTGCTTTTTAAATTTTATATATATGAGTATATGTTCAAATATTTGCACAGTCTAAAGATGTTTGCCTAAAATTACTCTATATTAAGCTGCAAAATTTCAAAGCATTAACTTCATCTGTGTTTCCCGCAGCTTTTTTGTTTATCAATATCTGTTCAATTAAACAAAAAAGTGCATTATGGGGTAAATTCACTCTTGCATATGAAAGTTAGATATATTTCTAAATTTTTTTTATTTTTATTTCATTGAACCTTGAAATAAAGAAAAAAAACGTATTTGAAAGATTGACCAACCTATTCAGGACCTGGTTACTGATGTACTTTCCCTTTTGGAAATCATACTTGGAGATGCACAAGAGCAGCACCAGGTACATTTTCCTGCGGCATTTTACTCTAGACATAATGCACCTGCATTTTTAACAATAGGTACACAGGTTTGCATTTCTGTTTACAAAGCTACTTTAGTTTTTGTCAAACTAAAGACCAAAAAAAGTCAGAAGATAAAAATAAAAAAAATTGTAAACATCTTGTTTGTAATTATCTGCGCAATTGAACTCCTCTTTTACAGCTGGACGTAACCGGTGTTTGAGTTTATAATTGAGCAGAGAAATGTGGTTAAACACCCACATGTTTGATCTGGTAAAAACTGAAAAGTATATAAATAGACTAATTGAATATAATGATACATTCACATATTATAACCATTTAAATAGCAAATAAAGGAAACCCAAAGTGCACATACAGTATAAGGGTCAGTAAGGAGAAGAAGGTGGAAAAAAACAAAACAAAAACAAAAGATAGTGTTGAGATGGTGGGCTGGTCTGTCATTCTCCCCCCATCAGGCACACACATGAAGCATGATGGTTGGATGAGAGGAGGAATATTTCACTGTCAGCCGAAAGGCGGCACGGTCATTCATTTCTTATCCTCAATATTCATTTCTTTCCCTTGTATCCATCTCTTTCCTGTTCCACTATATCATTCTTTTTTTCTTTGAATCTCTTACACTGTGTCAAAAAATGACAATTTAATCAGACTCTCTGCTTGAGCATTTAAAAGACGACAACTACCTAAACAAGGCCATCTATAGGCTTGACTCACAGAACGTACAAAAAAGGAAAAAGTGGAAAAAAAGAAAGAAAGGACATCTGGACCTGCACTACGCTGGAACACACCTTTCTACCTAAATGCTCATCGTCTTTCCAACCGAATCTTCTCCATTGTGGTTGTTTCCTTGTATTAGCAGTGCTTAAGTGCTTTGGAAGCTCTCAACACTCACACACACACATGCATGCTCAAAACGGCCCACTCACGTTTTGATTCCTTTTCTAAACATATAACCTTAAACTGCAGAGAGGAAACTGTCCTACATGAATGGGGCCAAAAAAAAGTGAGCTCCTAACCTCCCGCTTGAATGACACAAAAGTCAGAACTGGCTGTGCGATGAGTAATTCTTAGAGGGAGCATAAATGATTTGATAAATCATCATTATAGCAACAATAATTGAATGCACATTTTGATATATGGATGATGGGGATGTATGGGTGATGGAACGCGGGGAATGAGTGGATGAGCGCAGGAGAGAGAAGGGTGGGGGTGGGTTGGGAGCAAGAGATGAGCAGCATTGTCTTCTACCTTCTCTCTATCTCTCTCTCCCTCTCTCCTTTCAATCAGCACTTTGGTATTCAAACACACACACACACTGCTTCAAAGCCAGTGTGGTGTAATGGCTAATTGCAGTGTGTATACTTGTGTGGGTGTTTGTGTGTGTGTGTCACAGCTGGTAAAGTCTCTCTTACTGCTCTTTCAACACATAAAGGCATGCACTGACCCATGACACGCTATCACAAACTGCAGGCAATGATGGATTGGATATAAATCTGAGAACATCATCAATGTTCTTCCCTTTACTTGATTGTTTTCTTTTTGGAAATTAAAGCCAGTGGTCATACGTGTACTTGATTTAAGTATTGATGCAGGAAGTCGCACACATGTTTATGTTTTATCTGCAAATTCTTAAACGACAGCGCTCAATGCTGTGTGTATGAGATTTGCACAACGTGTGCGCTCATGCATACATGTGTGTGTCCGTCGGACCTCCAGAGCGCTGGTGGCAGACAAAAGCAAACCCCCCATCGTCCTCATTTCGCACCTCTCGCTCTACCCGTCTCTCTCATTGAATCCTTCTCTTTACGGGGCAAATTTACCACTGGAATGCCCGGACTCTTCAGATGGGAGAGAGGCCTGCCTGCCTTGTGAAGGACGCACAACGCAAAAATTGACATTGAATTCCACAGAGACTCAAAAAAATCAAACTCTTCCTCATATGGGCTTTTGATGGGTCACGCGCACACACACACACACACACACACACACACACACACACACACACACACACACACACACACACACAAATACATTCTGGGAGGAAAGACACAAACTCATGCATGGAAGGAAAAAATAAAAAAGATGCCAAGGCACGCGCACCAGCTCACACACTCAGGGAAGTGCACACAGCCTGCAAATCATCCTGGCACATATTGACATGCTTTGACAGATGAATTAAGTAAATGATTTTATAAGGAGATTAAAAGGATTTTAATTTACGCAATCTCTCTTTGGTCTCCCCCATCCCTCCCTGCAGTCAGCTTTACCTCTCTGTCTCTATTGCTTCCCTTTTCCTCATGGCGTGGGCAAAAAAATTAAAATAAAATAAAAAAAACTACAAGTGTGAAAAGAACAGGGGTGTAAAAACTGCTTCATTGCAACCATGCTGTATTTTCCCCTTCACATTAACTGACCTTTTTTTCTCCCCCTGTTAAAATAACAAGAAAAATATTTAGAGATTTCTTTGGGCCTTCAAGCTTAATTTTTATCATGAAAGTATGGTGATAATTTAAAAGATTTTGAACGTTTTTCTTCTTAAGTTATTTCTGCTTACCTGATAATATATGTTCAGTGGGTTAGAACATATTCAGCATGGCTCGGCTGATAGATGACTGAATAAGTTTAAATTTTATTACATATATCTATTATTGGGATTAGAAAATCGATTTACCATTCCAAACATGATGAGTGGTGACTTTCCTTTTAAAGAAAAAAATTATTTATCTATAACCAGAAAATTATTTAAAATACATTTAAAGTTACTAAAAAAAGATGACTAAAGAATTTCCTCAATAATGATCCTTGAATTAAATTATTAATTTTTGTGTTCATCTTTTTCATTGCATTGCTAACTTTTGCCTGACAAATCTGCACGGCCACTGTGCAGTTCACTCCACAGGTTTGTCTCTTCGCTCACACTGACAAAAATGTTAAATTAGTAAAGTCAGAGTAGGAAGAAAAATTAATCACATGCAAATTGTATGTATATGGTGACATGGGGGGGATGCAATTATGTTAACAGCTTAAGCGGTAGTTGTTATTATTATTAGTATGATCATCATTATCCTTAATATTTTAATTAGGAAAGCGGTGCCTCAAAGCAAAGAAGGCAAAGCCTGAGTGAAGAGGAGAGAGCAGTGGACAGATGGATCGATGGAAGGATGGAGGAGCGGACAGACAGTTGAAGGGACCAGAGGGTCCTCTGAAATACGCAAGAGGGAACAGGGCACATCAAGGTAAAACCCCCAAAAAACAAATAGGAGAAAATAAATTCTTTACACTGGTCATTTAAAAATGTTAGGGTGCCTTTTTGAGTTTTCAAAATTTTTACTTTAATAAAACACCTTGCTGCAGAAATATAAATAACAAAAATAAAACAAATCGGATGAAGGAAAAACATGCTTTCCAGCCTAATTCAAAGTTTTTTAAAGCAGTAGTCAGTGTAGATTCTAATAGAGCGAAGATGTACGGACACAGCAAGCAGGGTCGCATCCCTGCAATCAGAAGAAGCCTAAAGACAGAGATTGCTCTAGATGGACATCAAGTCAACTCATTTTTAAACAGTATTAAAGGCACAAAGGCATCTTTAATTAAAAACTGGAGTTAAATGTCATAATTGTCACAGAATCAAGGTTATTCAACAAATATTTGATTTTTTACTTCTTAAAAAGACCACATATAAATAAATAAAAACAATAATAACAAATAAGATATATATATTTTTTTACATGTAAAAAGGTTGTAAATAAATCATAAAGTGAAGATTTTATGAAATTTTTCTGTTATTTTCTCTCACGGTTCCTGACCAATGGACATTCTGTGCAGCTAAGATGACCCAAAATACAGTCTCATGCTCACAGAAACACACAAAGAAAAGAGAGGCTACAACATTTAAAAACTGCTTATTTTAGTTACAACGGTTGACAATAAATATTTGGCGAACACATCAGTCAGCTTCTATTTGGACTTTTTCCTTACATGTCTGCCCCAGACTCTCCCACATGAACACCCCTGACCCATTTGATGAAATACATTTACTGTGAAGCCAAATTCAAACAACTTGGGTTCTCCTCTAATAAAGCTTAAAATCATGAAAAAATTCTGAAAAAATATTTTTTTCTACTGACTTATTACATGTTTCAGTGCATCATTTTTAAAATTACTTCATATTTTATGTGAACAGACAAACAAAAAGCAGAATAACTCAAATAACTTTTTTTTTTTTTTTAAGAGACCTTTTTTTCCATGGAATTTTTCTAATAGCAGAGCAGCTCAGAGAAGAAAGAGCAATCTGCATTTTAAACAGCCTTTTATTTACACCTAAAAGAGCAAAGTGTTGGCTAAAGGAGCAGCTGAACTCCAGCCACTAAGTGTGTGTGTAAGTGTCTCTAAATCCTGCGCGGGGGGCCACACGCTGAGCTGCCCGTCTCAAATTCAACCTCTTCTGGCATTTAAGAGCCCAGTCCTTTTTGCCTCCCTCCATTCTCAAGGGCCGCTCTCCTCCTGTCCCTCCACCTTATTCCTGTAACCCCATTGCCCTGCTACCTAACAGATCCCCTGCTTGAATGAGCACGGACAACGCCATGGCCCTAACTGACTTTGTGTTTGCTACTGGGGGCCAATCCGACTGAAAGTAAAACAATCTTCAGAAGACTCAGAAAGTGAAGTAAAAGCTGAATCTCTGCACGTGCGCGTCCAGGTGTGCGTTACTCTCAGCTGAAAGAAATGAGTCTCTCTTTACATACAGAATGAAAAGTGCTGTAACTGTACACAGATTGCATGCAGACACACACACATAACCACACTCTGAGGCTGGGATCGCGTGCTACCTGACAGCGGAAACAACCTTGACTTTGTGCCGGGACCACCTTCACTGCATTCCAGCAGACAAACACACATGCAGCCACTCACAGTGAAAGACACGGAAGATGACAAGTTTGGTTAATGCATGGAAAGGTAAGATTAAAAAAAGGTAAAATTTACCTACTCTTGTTCAGAGTGCATTAAAAAACACTCGGATAACGGGTGTCCTACCGACTCCATCAGCGATAACGGGTCATTGTCACATCAACCTCCTCTGAAGAACAGCAAAAATGTTTTTTTTTTTTTTTTTTTTTTCTTAAAATGTCAAAGTTTTGATATGTTTCCTCTTTCTCTTCTTCTTTCTCTGATCTTCCACTTTCTCACTTTCTCTCTCTCTCTCCGTCCTTTCTTCCACTTGGAGGGAGCAATACAATTACCAGGCTCTGCTCCGGCTGCACTGATCAGCTCTGCGTGTGTGGATAGATGCGAAGGGAGCGCGTGTGCGCATGTGAGAGAGGGGGGCTGTAGACGCACACGCAGCCAGCCAGCCAGCCGGGCAGTTGGGACAGAAAACTGTGCTGCTGTCCTAATCAACGACTTAAAGCCCCAATAGCTGCTCATGAATATTAAGCTGAATTTTACATATGCAGTCCCTCAGGTCCGGGTTCTGCTGCGATTGGTGGACAGCTGACCAATGGCTGCAGGGATGGGTGGAGAGAGGGGTGGAGAAAAAGGTAGGTTGAAGCAGAGAGAGAGGGAGAGTGGCAGGTGGGGAAGAAGGGATGAGGTAAAGAGCACAGTAGAGAAGAGAGGAAAGAAGGAAAGGAGAAAGGAACAGGTGAGAGAACGGTTTAAAGAGAGACAACCTACCCTTTTCCTTTTGGTTTTTCCATCTATATAACCTAATACTTCTTCTAAGCATCTCTCTTCTGGTCTCTTTTACTCTCATTATTTGCCCATGTTGGCATGTACACTCCAACAAACACCTTACACATCTTCCAAAAAAGATAACTATAAATCATCTCTTTTTTTCTCTTTTGTCTACACTTTGCGAAATATTTTTACGCATTTTCTTTTGCAGCTTTCATACACACTGTGCCTTCTTTCGCTGTATCTGTCTGGTAGACAATATGGATTTGAACTTGCTTGGCTGCAGGACACAAAATTGACCTAATCAAATCCAGAAAATCACAAGATCAAAGGAACGAGTGTAAGCTTAACCTTAAACCCAAAGCTTGAATAACATGTCACACTACAAATGCACACAGACAGGAAGAGCGCAGCAGAGCCCATCACAGCCCAGCAGTAAAATATGAGATTATGGCAATTCCAGAGAGCTTGTCCTTTGTTGTGGAATGATTTGGGCATGATTGGGACAAGGTTCTCCCTGCTGCTTGCTGTTTCTGTCAAACCCCTCCACATCTCCTCACCAGTGTGCCATTTGCTTCCAGTGTTTGCAAACAGACTGAAATGTGTGGAGATGGAGACTCTAGGAGAATCAGCGTATGGCTCCTCAGTGTAAAAGGGGAACTCGTGGAGAAAAGGAAAATAGTATATTTTCCAGTTTCCTGTTTGACTTCTAAGTAAAGGAATGCGGTACGTGCATATTTTGTGCATATTGAGAAAAAAAATCATAATCATGGGGGGAGGTTGCAGAGATGAAAGGGAGTGGTTGTGATTAGCACATTTGGAAGAAAGCTGATAAAAACATTTCCTGAAACTAATCTCTACTTTGAAGTACGTTTGCGTGCGAGTGTCTAAGTGTGAGGATGCATGAAAGAAGAACATCATCCTCTTTTGACTATTTCTTCCATCACATAACTAACAATGTTTTACATTTCTGACATATCGACTGGTTAATACACAAACTCTCAACATTTATGCGAGTAAACCAAATGTATGTTTTATATATTATCACAATCTGATCTTATGGCAGACACATCCATCCCAAAGACATCCTTAAAGAGCCAGGAATTTGTATTTTTTTTCTTATGAAATGAAAAACGTGCTTTGATGAAACAAAGTTTATATCGGCTCAAATCTCATATTTTGAAAAATATCCTCCATTTGTAACTCTTTTTTTTAAAGTAACAGAAAGCAAAGCAAAAACAGAGTATCCTAAAAAGAAGCAACTTACAAATACTGGGACACTACTTTGCATGTGGACAGAGGGAGATGAATTCAAGCTCTGAGGCTCACAAACACATGCACACAGTTATGATGTATCCAGAGGCTTGCTTATAAGCATCGACAAAGATGAGTGTGAATCAATGCTGCCGCCACCACTGCACAAACAAATCTTTTACGGAAACCTCTGTCTCTAAAACACATGTAGTGGGAATCCTACAGACATTTATCATTGTTGAGTCTGTGGAAACAGATTGCAATCTAGTAACAGTGTTGTAATTAAACTGCAAGTTAAATGTGAAACAGTTTTGTTGCAATTGCTGTGTAATATTAAAATTAAATGAACTGTGCAACAAGAAGAGTATGCATCTAAAAAGCTGTAAGAGCACCATGACAAACAAATCTGGAAAAAAAAAAGCTCTGCTACGGTTTAATATTACATTTATTTTAAATGCAAAATGTTGAAGGTCTAATGCAAAAGCAGGAACATAGGCAGTAATTGTTTACATCAGCACAAACATCTCTTATGTAAAATATATTCTGAGAATATTAAAAGAAGCTTTTTTTCCCCATTGTTTTTGTATCCGTGACTTTTTTTTCTCATGTCTGACCCCCATCTACCCCACCTCACCCTTCCTAGGCTATCGATTGCCTCTGAATCCGAGTGTATGCAGACAGTGACCCCTTTAGACCACTTCTCCTGAAAACAGACTAACTCTCCTCATATTAAACACAGAACCATAACAATGACTCTTGACATGAGTGGAAGTCCTTTTAATTCCTAGAAACAATGTAACCTTATTATCAACATTTTCCATTTGTCCAAAATCAAACAATTGTATGCATGCGTTATTGCTTGTACCGTCTGTAAGTTTCAGTTGTAAGGTGCAACAGTGTTGACATCGCACTCTGCTCTTTTATCTGTGATTGTGTGCATACGTCTTAGAGGGCTGTGTGTTTTGACCCTGTGGTGGCAGCCTGTTGACATCTATGGAAGAAATATCCTTGGCAACTCTTACTGACATCAATCACGGCACTCAATAGGCCACAGCAAGCTCACTAAGAGCAATGAATGTGTGGGTGTCTTTACTGGTCAACACAATCTTTAACAAATTCATGAGGAGGCCACTTAAGACAGCAGACCCCGTGACACAAATCTGCCAGTCTTAAACAGATAAAGAACCGGAGTTATTTACAATAACAATTAGGCAAAGTTGTTTCTCCTTTCATCTCAAATATGAAGTGCACTTATTCTCTTAATATGTATTTTAAGAATATGGAATTTTACTTTGTGTTTCCAAGAGGAGAGAGTAACAGACGATACAGAGAACTTGATTGTAGTTCACTAGTAGCCAACAGAGGGTGCTATGGTCTCTGATCTGTCTATACATATTCTGCAAAGGAACCTCGGATTTCAGTGTGGTTGAATGTTCGTATGGGTTTACTAGAACATATAGATTAGGAACTGCTCATTAATCACTAATTAGAAGTCTTGAAAACCAAAGAAATTACATCTCTGACAGACACTCCCCTATACATACACTGAGAGTTTAGTTTTTTTCCCCTTTCCCCTTAGAAGGACAGGAGAGGAGTTCAGTTTTTGGATTACTGGGTTTAGATATTACACAAACTTGAAAGAGATTGCTCAGATAAGGTTTTGTTTTGTTTTACTTTTAAATGTTCATGTTTGTCTGGTAAAGAAACACTGCTATTACCTTTTATAATAACATTTATCTATAAAACATTAAACAAGATATGTGCTGTTATTAACCTGTTAAACTGTTATTTATGTTTACTGTTTAAGAGCATTATTTATTAAAATAACTATACGTTTATATATATATAATACATTTGAACCTCAATTCCCTTTATATCACTTTATCATTTAAACTTGAAACTTCAAAATATAAATTCCAAATTAGCTTCAAATAATAAATGCAAAATAAATCCCTCAGTACTCTAGGCAGCCAAAATGCAATGTTCAGACATATTAGATTTTATTCTTAGTGTAAAATCAGTTCTAAAAACATTTAAATACAATAAATCCTGGTCAGATTGATCAGAATTAATGATTTCAGTTAATCAATGTATTTATTGTTTCTTTTTACTTTTGCCATTTTGTGAACCTGCTAGAAATACATTAATATGTGACCACAGATATGTGTGAACATCAAGGCACCTGCAGGCAGGAAATAGATGCTGATCAGGGCCAAGGAGAGAGCACCAGCTGCTTGGAAAAGCTGCTGGGTTAAGGGGGCTTTCTGGAGCCTGTCACTAAAACTCTGTTTGGGTAACATTTGCAGCAGCATGGTGCAAGGAAGCACATATGCATGGACTGAACACAAGCTTATGTAATCAAACTACACACATCATAATTACTGCACCCCTAATTCCAATATTTTTTTTGCTAATGTACAGTACAGTAACTATATTCTTGGCGTACATGATTTTATTTAAAAGACATAAAACACACAGAATCCCCTGTTAGGCACACAGATAGGTGCTGCCAAACCTTGTGACTCCTTTGGAACAGAGCCCCTTCTTTTCCAGCACAAAGGTCAGGTAGGTTTTGCAGCTCACACGAACGAGTCATGAGCTTGCTCTTACATGTACCAGAGACATAGACAGTACAGGACAAGTTTTTACATTTAGATAGGATGAACTGGCTGAAAAATATTGTTATTTGGAGAAGGTGACTTTACTAAAAAGAACCTCTACTAAAATTAATAATTTACAGTTGACTGTAAGTTCTAAGCTTTTCTGTATTCAAACATATTTTCCAACAAGTCTATCAGATAAAAAATAGACAGGATATCTTTACCATTTAAGAAAATCAAAAGTTTTTCCCACATTAAAATAGTCTAAATCTGCAACAGCAGGTCATATCTGCACATCTTGCCGTCTATGTTCAAACTGAAGGTTAGCTAGTCTGCACCTTATCACAGAAAAAAGTGTAACCTTATCAAGTGAGGACAGGCAAAAGGAAAAGGGTTGTGGGCTCAAAGGTTATAAAGTCATCAAATGAGGACAGATGGGGCAAAGGTGATAGATGTCAGCATTGCAAATGTGTGTCAGTGTGTCTGAGCATGCATATTGCTTCCAATAAATGAATGTAGATGACCCTCACTCGGGCTATAATGAATACTTTGAGGAAAAAAAACAAAATGGTTTTGCACAAAAAAATCTCCGGCTTCTGTCTTGCAGAAATGGTGGCCACTCAGTTAGGAAGTCACTTTGTCATGAGTTCCCTGGTTTGAATCCCACAGACTGCTACATGACCCTTAGATACTTAGTCCACATTGGATTGAAAAAAATTGGCAATGGCAAATTAACCATCTTTATCATTAATCTTAAACTAAAGGAATCTGTTATTGCAGCTTTGCAATAATCCTCTTTCTGAGAAAACCTCCTACATTTATGTGAAAAAAATTTGGCGTGGTTCGGTGGAGCAGTGGTTAGCACGCACAACCCATATATAGAGG